GGGGAGGAGGCGCGGGGAGAGGAGGGCCTGGGGAGGGAGAGCTGCTAAGGGGGGGCCTGGGGGTGCAGGGGTAGGGTTGGGAGAGCAGGTGAGGGTGTAGGGATGTGTCGGGCAGGAGTAGCGTGGGTCCTGAGGGGAAAGGGGACTGTGTGGGGTTGCAGTGTATGGGACATAGCCCATGGCAGGGTTAGGGAGAGGTTATGGGGGTGTAAGGCAGACAGAAAAGGGGATGTCAGGAGACTGGGTATAGGGGTGCAGGTGTGGGATGAGGGCAGGGATGGGGTGAACAGGGCCACAGGGCCATTGTGAAGGCTCAGAGTGAGGCCTGGGTTCTGGTAGCACTTGTACATGGGGTCTGAGGTGCCCCAGACCCCTCTGTGTGCATGTGGTCTGATAAACCCGGAGGTCTCTGTGGAAAATGTCTGAAATGCTCTGAGGGCATAGTGTGAAGCATTCCATTGCTTGCAAATACACCCCAATATATGGCTGAAATACAGGGAGAAGCGTGTGTATGGGATGCCCCTTGCTACAGAAGCAGCTCTGACTGGTGATTGCCCCAGAGCTTTGTGGGTGATTAAGGACAACCAGTGTCACTTGAGAGCATGTGAGGGTGGTGTCTCTGTCCCATGCGTGTCAGATCCCATCATCACTTTGCAGCTGAGTGGGTGGATCAAACCCTGTCCCCCAAGTGGTCCAGGAAAGGTGCTGAAGAGCCCGGTATGGTGCCTGAGTAGCCAGGAGCAGGACACGCTTACGGTTGTTTGTGTTTGCAAGGCCTTGCTCCGATGCAAATCTTCTCTGGCTGTGAGGCAGGGCTTGTGAAACGGTTCACATCTCATGTCACACGTGTTTTGCTGTGATCAGTAGACTATAACTTGAAATTGGAGAGTGAGTGAGGCTTTTGACTTTTGCGAAAGCTTTTATGGTTGAGAGACTCTACCTGTAAACAGCTGCAACTCCTGCTTCCGTAACAGATGCCATCTAAAGAGGGAACAAGAACCGTGGCTGTAATGAGCATCTGAAGACCCTTATGGTCTGCAAGAACTGCTTGCCCTAAGGGGGTTGCTGCCAAGAAGGCAGCAAGGATGCGGCACTGCCTGAAGCCTCTGTAGATGTCACCTGTATGACACAGCCCTCCATGGTGTCAAGCATTTTGAGCAAAAAAATACCTATAACTCTGTCAGAAAGGCACTGGGGTTTGGTGTAATGGTGTTGCACGGCAAGGAGGCTGTCACTGGTTTGAAGCCTGTTATTTCCATGGCGTGTTTCTTCCCACTGACAATTTTGTAAGAAATACAATGTTTTCTGCTAAACTAATGAAGACTTTTTGTTCCCAGAAGTTTCCTCCCTGTTTTAGTTATATTACCTTTGGTGGGGAAGCCCCTTGGGCTCTTCCCTTCTTGACTGAGCCACTTACATCATGTTCCTTAAATCCGTTGCTTATGGGGATGTTTCTCAGGATTGAATCCTTCTTATTGATATTCCCTGGATTTCCTCCCAGACTTTCAGCAGCCTTTATATGGGAGCGAAAGAAGCACGTTTATTATTCCAGTCTCGAGCTCACTCACTCCGCGTGCAGGGAGACCGCCTGAAAATTGGGCCAACTGCCTTTGCTATGGCATCATAGTGGAAGTTGCTGCTCAGTTGCTGATGTCTAATAATCCTTCGGTCTCTTTGCCGTTGTCTCTGTATCCCTGGTTATGTCGTTCTGTAATGGGAGTTTTGTAGTCACTGGAGATGGGCTCTTGGATTTGGTCCCACAGGAGAGAGGGAGATGAAGATGAGCCTTTTGGCCCAGCTGTCCTGTTGCTGTGGGCTGGCTTGCTCTTCGCTGGCTGTCTTTCACTAACAGGAACATAAATTATCTTCTTTCAAAATACCCTATGATCTATTCAGCCGCCTTTCCCTCCTGTTAGAAGCATGCTTGTCATTTAGGTGCTCCCTGCTGCTGTTCATAGTGGGGATTTACTTCATGACAGGTCATCTCAGTGGGTCAGGATGCTGAAGGTGGGGCTCTGGCAGGAGAGGGTTGGTTCACGTCCTCTTGAGGAAGAGGATGATGAATGGGGATGGAGGGATGAAGCGGGGCAGAGCACCTCTGTAGCAAGCCAGGGCTCAATAGCTCTGCTGCTGGGGGGTCAGCATGATCCTGGTGCTGCTCTGGTGCGGTTTTTCTGGCTGCACCTTGGCCTGGGACCATGTGGGACCATCGGGGCGGGTGGCAGCAGGTTTCCTCTGTGCTCTCTTCAGCCAGAAGTAACCTGTTGGTTTTGTTCCTTTCTAGGTCTATTCACACTCCTGGTGGAAGATTTTGGTGAGTGCAAGAAGCCTTCCTGGGAAGTTGATTTTGTGCCTGACATTAACCCATGTCCTTTCTGGTGGGCTTTACATCAGCTTCTGCCATTCGTTTGCAGGGGTCAAGGGAGTGCAGGTTGAAGAAATTTATGATTTGCAGAGCAAATGCCAAGGGTAAGTCACAGGCATGAAAGTATGACTTGTATTAAGCAGAATGCGTCTCTGGGCCTGGTAACTCATCGCCAGGCGTTCAGAAAGGCCCGTGTGAACTCACCGATCGTGGAGGTCAGCGTTGTAAGTGATGAACCAGGTTTGGGGCAGATGCGCAATCTTCTGCCTTGAGAAAGACCTCGTGGGGCAGGTGGGGGACATACTTCAAGGGATTCATCTCCCCTTCCCCATGGAGAGGTGCGGTGCCAATCAGTGTGCTTGCAGTGTGGGCTTTCTCCCTGTCTCAATGCTTTGAAATGGCTTTGAGGCTGTTGCTTTCTTAAAAGCCATTGTCTAAACTTCTCTTGAAAATGAATACATCTGTTTAAAAGGAGGGGTTATTTGGTGGTCAGGCAGTATTCTGCAGGTCAGTCAGTGTCCAGAGATTAATTTCACCTCCCGTTTTTCTGTCTTGAGCCTCCTAAGAGCTGGCAAACCCCAAAGTTTTGAAGCTTGATAGTTCTCTGAGCCTGGAGCACCAGCGCAGGAGAGTGTCGTAATGTGGGGCTGGGGGGACTTACGGCAGGGATGGTCACTTCCAGAACGATGGGGCTGGTGGTTCTGCTTTTCTTGTCTGTCTTTGCTCTGCCCATGGTTTGAAATGGAAGGTTTCTGGCACTGGGCAGAGCAGCCCCACTGGTGTGGTCTGTCCAAAATGATGCAGCTGCTGACTTCTCTCTGCAGCCCTGTGTATGGATTCATCTTCCTGTTCAAGTGGATTGAGGAGCGCAGATCACGCCGGAAGGTCTCTACCCTGGTGGATGAGACGTCGGTGATTGACGATGACATTGTTAATAACATGTTCTTTGCTCACCAGGTAGGCTGGAGGTGAGGGGAAAGTGTGTGTGGGGGCGTCTCTTGTGACACCTCAGGGAAGCAACATGATACTGAGAGGCTGCACTGCTCTTGCTGGTCCTGAGGGCAGCTCCTGTTTCCTGGGAGTCTCTGCCCTGAGCTCCGGGTTGGAGGGAATTCAGCGAGGGCTGCGAGCCTGTCTGTGGCCTGCGAGGTGAGCAGGTGCTCAGGGGGCATGGTGTGGCTTGCTAAACGAGACTGACCTCCTTCCTTCCTTCCTTTGAGAGCCGAGGTGAAGTCGCTGCTCTCACTTGTGTTAGTACTTTTCAGTTGATTATTGTTGACACTGGGGGGTTGTTGAAGGGTTGCCTTGTTCCTGCCGGTTAAGATGGTCCTTGTGTCACCCTCCAGCTGATCCCCAATTCCTGTGCCACCCATGCCCTGCTGAGCGTCCTCCTGAACTGCAACAATGTTGACCTGGGCCCCACGCTGAGCCGCATGAAGGATTTCACCAAAGGATTTAGCCCTGAGGTAGGGGCAGGGCTGTGCACAGGTGGCCCATGTGAATCTGCCTCTCGCTTCCCTCTCGAGATGAAGTTCTAACGAGCTGACCCCTTTCCAGCCCTTGGTGGCTACACGCTACAGCAGTATTGCCTCTTCTCTCTCATCTTCCTACCGGGCCTTGCTCAGAGCCTTGGTCCCCTTACACTGGGCGCCGCTCTGAGTCTTCTGTTGTGTTATTCCCTAGCCCAGGTGTGTTCTCTAAGTCTGTGACCAAAAGTCCTCTCTCCTACCTTGAAGTCTGTGTTTCTCTCTCACTGTAATTTTTTTAGCAGAAATTGTGTGTTCTTTTCATCTTGGGTTTTACCTGTAACTCAGCAGAGCAGAGAGTGTGCCTGAAAGTTGCTCTCCCAGTCCTGTGCATGGATGGAGGGAGGGAGTGAGGTGGGTGAAGCATTCAGTTTGTTTCCTGTCACTTCTCAATTGTTTTCCTTTCTTGCTGTTTGCTGCAGAGCAAAGGCTATGCCATCGGCAATGCCCCAGAGCTGGCCAAGGCCCATAACAGCCATGCCAGGTGAGCAAGGGAGTGTTTTGTGGCTCACTTTTTGCTGGAGGAGGCAGACCCTCCACTGACCTCTCGCCTCTCTTGCCCTCGCAGGCCAGAGCCCCGGCACTTGCCAGAAAAGCAGAACGGTATCAGCGCTGTGCGGACCATGGAGGCTTTTCATTTTGTCAGTTATGTCCCCATCAAGGGACGGCTCTTTGAGCTGGATGGGCTGAAGGTCTATCCCATTGACCACGGTAAGAGCCTGCCTGTCGCTACTCATTGAATAGGCACCTTGGTATGTCCAAATATATGTTTAATTTTTTCATTGCCACTTAGCGTTAGCTGATGTTTGTGGAGAATTGCTCCAATGGCTCCCAGATTTGTCCTGAGTTTTGATAGCTCGTTTTGGAAGCTATGCGCTGGGGACTGTATCTAGAAGGCAATTATTTCTAAATGCATTGACTTGCTTTTTCCAGCCTTGCCATTTTCTTCCCCAGTTGCTCAGGGTCACAAGGTCCTTCTGCAGCTCTGAAATAACATGATATCGCAAGCAGAATTTGCCTCCTCCTTACTCTCTCCTTCTGCCAAATAACCCCTGTGTGTTGAAGCACAAGGTTCCAATGCAGATCCCAGCAGGCTGCTCAGGTTGCTCCCTTCTTTTACCACTTGATCACTCAGCTCTGTCTTTCAGGCACCTTTTTATCCCTGCTAGGACTTTGCTTCTCTGTCAGGCCCATTGGTGAGGTACCCACTTCATGTACCTGGATTACTTAAGCATGGCACCAGATCCTGTGGCAGGTGGATCCCAGCAGGAGCTGGGATTTCCTTGGACTTTGTGAGCCTGAGCCTGTGAACTGCTTGTGGTCTCTAGGGTTCAGAACTCCCCTTTCTGCCCTGCAGATAGCTCACCTTTTCTATTCGGAAGGCAGAGGCAGGGGGTTCCACATAGGGGCTGACAGCATGGTACTCCTGCATCCTGGGCCCCTTCTTGACTTGCTCCCTGGTGTGTAAGTGCGCTGTGAGATTGCCTCTCGTGGGGATGGCAGGATCCGCTCTGAGAGTCTGAAGCAGGAGCCTTGGCCTGCTTTGCTAAGTCCAGCTCTGTCTCGTTATTACAGGGCCGTGGGCTGACGACGAGGAATGGACGGACAAAGCCAGGAGAGTAATCATGGAGCGCATCGGCCTGGCCACTGCAGGGTAATGTCCTGGGCCATGGTGCAGGCACTGGCTCTGCACCATTTTTCCTTGGATTATTTCTACTGTGATCTCTGCGCGACAAGTTGCGGAAGTGGGAGTGGAGAATGCTGCCTGGGGTGAGGTGCAAGTGTGCTGCCTCCTTGCCTGCAGTTTGCCTGCCCTCAGAGCATGGAGAGAAGCTGCACTCTGTCTGTGACGCAGAGTCCCTGCAAATGGCTGCGCAGGATAAAAGTGGCCGGATTAGGTCCCTGTTAACTCGAGTCCATAGGAGAAGGAATGGTGGTGCTGGGCCTCTTGGATGCCAGGGCATGAGGGTGGCCAAGCACTGGCACAGGTTGTCCAGAGAGGTTGTGGAGTCTTGGAGATACTCAAAAGCAGTCTGGATGTGGTCCTGGGCAACCAACTCTGGGTGAGCCTGCTGGAGCAGGAGCTTGGAGAAGATGACCTTCATGGGTCCCTTCCCACCTCAACCTACCTGTGACTCTGTAAAGGGTGTTTTGTGTTGTGGCTGAAGCAACCTTGCTCTGCTTTTTGAACCAGTGTGAGGTTGACTTGGTTTTGGGGGAAAAGCCTCCTGAGTGTTGGTGTTAAACGCCGGGGCAGGGGAGGTGCAGCCTGAAGGAGCCTGCCGGAGGTGTGCAGGGTATGGCTGGCAGCCTGCTGGCTCCCCTTGCTGGGAGATGGGCTTTCTATTGCCAGTTCATGGCTGACATCTGCTGTCCCTTCCTGTAGGGAGCCATACCATGACATCCGCTTCAACCTGATGGCGGTGGTGCCTGATCGGAGGATGAAGTACGAGTCCAAACTGCACATCCTGAAGATGAACCGCCAGACTGTGCTGGAGGCCTTGCAGCAGGTAGGGCAGCCCAAGCTCTCAGGGAGTATGAGCCTGGGGTGAGAATAGGGTCTGTTTCCAGAGCATCTCCCTGTGCTGTGAGGGCCCTGGATTTTGGGTTTTTTTTTGGCCTTGGGAAACGTCTTCTGGGAAGAGGAGATAACCAGCCTCTCTGCTTGGCCTTTTGCTGCTCACCTGGGAGGTTATCCATGGCACTGTCAGTTGATCGCACATGGGCGCTCAGTTGGCTCACCCTCACGAGTTCTTCTGAGGCGCTCGAATGGGAGGGATGTGGTTCGGGTCACTCTGGTCCAGCACTCAGTTTCTATCTGTCCTTTGCCTTCAAGCTTATCCGAGTGACTCAGCCTGAGCTGATCCAGACCCAGAAATCTCAGGAGTCTCAGCCCCCTGAAGAGGCAAAGCCAGCCAGCAGCAAGACGGTGATGCCAGAGAGCACCCATCCAGGTAGATCCCTGTACCAGTGGTGTTGCCAGCCAGCCTGGCCTGCCGTGAAGCAAGCACAGGCTGGTGACGACGGCTGGTTGACCTGGAGCTTGAGGAAGTTCTGTGGTCAGCTTCACTTTCTTTTCTCCAAGCCCAGCTGTGTGTGCACTGTGGTGGGGTGTGGTAGATGCCTCTGTGCCTGGGAGGTTGGAGGGACATGGAGCTTGAAAATGGGAGGGCTTAAGGTTGGGGACACTGGTGACAGCTGGAGATGGAATGGGAAGTGGGTGTGATGGTCTGGTGGAGCATAGGAGCTCTTCTCTTATGTGGGGTGAGCAAGGGGTGGCAGAGGATGTTGAGTAAAAACTGCTGGTGCTGGTCATGAAAGGCTGTGTTGTGCTTGTATGGCAGATGGCACCGATGAGCCCGCCAGCCAGGGCCACCCTGCAGCCACACAGAGCCCACCCAACAAATCCAAACCAGTGGCAAAGATGTCAGCGAGCAGCATCAATGGGGCACCTCCAGGAAACCCCAACCCCATCGTGCAGAGGTTGCCAGCCTTCCTGGATAATCACAACTACGCCAAGTCCCCCATGCAGGTAGGCTGGAGCTCCAGGCCAGCAGCAGGCCTGACTCGAGCTGAGCTTTTGGTTCCAGTCCCTCACCTCTATGGGACTACGGCGGTCAGCCGGTCCAAGCCCTTCCTCTGCCCTTACTGCCTGCCTACCCTTGCACTAACCCAGGCTGGAAGGTGAGAGGGTAAATAAAGACTGACCTGGCAAAAGAGTTTATCGTTAATGTGGGTCAACTGAGCAAGCACAGGGGAGAGTCCCCTGTCTCCTCTTGAAAGGGGCAAGCCCTGGTGCTTGGCTGGAGCGAGGGCCTGTCCACTGGGCTTTTCCTCCATGCCCCACTGCCGGGAGGCCATCGACGATGGTGTTTTACAGGAGGAGGAAGACCTTGCGGCCGGAGTGGGTCGCAGCCGGGTCCCAGTCCGACAGCACCAGCAGTACTCGGACGACGAGGATGACTACGATGATGATGATGAGGAAGAAGTTCGTAACACCAACTCAACCATCAGGTGACGGCTTGAGCTGCGGGTGGGGGGCAGGGAGCTGATGTTTGCAGAACTGCCAGTGGCGACTTCCAGATCTCTTTCCTGAGCACTGATAGTTGTGTTCCAGCCTGCACCTGCGTGTGCAATTAGGGCTGTTCTCTTTGCCTGCTATTTTGCTGTTCACTCGCTGGATTTTGTGAAGCCCTTCTGTAGCTCTTGTCAATCAACCCTGAATTTTGGCTGCCCTGAGTATAACTGTGCATTGGCAGCAGGCTTTGGAGCTTTGGGGAACCTCCATTCCGCCGTGCCAATTGCCAGGTTAGCTCCTGGTGACGGTGTGCTTGGACTGCTGTGAAGATCAGGAAGGTGGGGTCAGAGCGAGGGTGCTTTTGGGGCTTCTGGAAGAAGAGCAGGGGTATGCAGCACCCTGTGCCCCCGGCTGCATTGGGGTACCTGCAGCTGAGCGGTTCGGCGGTGTTGGGGTGCTGCCAGAGAAGCTGGTGGCAGTGGGGCTGACCTAGAAATGTTTCAGGCCTTGCTTCATTCCAGCAGACAGCCTAGGCTGCTGAGTGTGGAGCTGGCAGTGGCTGTGCTGGGCCCCCACCTCCTTCCACCAGCTACTCACTCACCTTCCCTGCTCTGTTCCTGGGCAGGTACAAAAGGAAAGGGCAGGTAAAGCAGGAGCATGTGGCAGGGGCTGCGGATGGCCAGCTCTCCGTCCTCCAGCCCAACACCATCAACGTCCTGGCTGAGAAGCTGAAGGAATCTCAAAAGGATCTTTCCATTCCG